GTCACCCCGACAGATTGCTTAAGATGCATCAGCCCCTTTAACTTTCAGCTCAGTGTCTGCTTAACCCGGTGGTTACGGGTTAAACAGAGACTCGTTTGCCTAAAAATAGACCAGGCGAGATGCCAGCATAGGGATTGCATATGAAGATCCTTCCCCTCATTTATCCCTCAACATCTGGCATAGGGCCTGGTTCCTTGAGGGATCCCCTGTCTCCCATAACATCTGCCCGGCTGATTCGATCCAGCAGGGTTGGCGCGCTCTGGGTTCCTTCAGTGAAACGATGCCATCTATCAGGAGCCCAGAAGCGCCCCTTCTCTGTAGCAGCGCCTGCCCTCTGGAATGAGGCTCCCCCTGAGATCCAGATGGCCCCCGTTCTGCTGTTCTTCAGAAGAACCATGAAGACCTGCCTCTTCACACAGGCCTTCGATGAGGGCGTGTGAGACTCCTCACTTCATCACACTTGCCATCTTTTATCTTTATCTATCTTTATCATTTACATTTTATTGATTTTATTGTTTGATTGTTGTGAGCCACCCAGAATTGGCATATAATACTAATACTAATACTAATAATTATTATTATTCCAGAAGGGCTCAAGAGATGAGACCATCTTGATGAACTGTTTCTCCCTGGATTGCTCTGTTGCATTTATATCCTGTCTTTCCTCTGGGAATTTACAGGGGTATCCATAGGGGTACCGATACACATTTAACCTTACAAGATCAACCTGGTGAGGCAGATTGGATTGCAAGCTCGTACATGTTGCGGAGAAGGTGCTGGACTAGAAACCAGGAGACCGTCAGTCCTAGTCCTGCTTTAGGCATGGAAGCCAGCTGCGTGACTCTGGGCCAGTCTTACCCTCTCAGCCCTAACCCACCTCACAGGGTTGTTGTTGTAGGGAAAATAGAACGAGGGGGCATTATGTACTTTGCCTTGAGTTGTACAAAATATAATCAGGATACAAGATAATAAATAAATAAGCTCAGTCAATAAATTATCCCACAATCTGGCTTTGTACAACACACTCAAGTGCAGATTGACCCAATGGGCTCAGTATGCACAACACAGCCACCTCACCCAGCTTACTGTGTTGTGCAAATGCAGTAGAGGTTTTCGACTGACTCTGTTCAGCCTCCTGTGTAAACGCAGCCATTATGTCATCAGTGTAATTAGGCAGAGCATTCTGTGTTAAATGCAAGTTCCTGGGGGAAGCATTAGGGCATTGATTTCCTGCAGAGAGGAAACGTAGTGCCCGGCCTCTTTCAGTTTTATTTCCAGCACAGGCCAACTTCTCTGTACAGACACCCACTTTGTCTGCTCCCTTCTCTTACGAAGTGGGGGGAAACAGGCCATTGCCAACGAATTCTGGCTATCATCTTTTTAGAGGCTAGGGTATTAAGATAGGGTTACCTGATCTAGATTGCAAAACTTCTGTGTACCACTAGATGGCAACAAGGAGTTAATGTTCTGCATCATTGTTAAACTGGAGCAAGTGCAAAGACCGGCTACCAAGATGGTAAAAGTCCTACAAGGAACGGTTAAAAGTTCTGGGTATGTTTAGCTTGCAGAAGAGAAAGTTGAGAGGGGACATGAGAGCTGTCTTCAAATACCTGAAGGGCTGTCACATTGTACCGGTAGTCCTTGCTTAACAACCATTCGTTTGGCAAACATTCGAAGTTACAGCACCACTGAAAAAAGTAACTTATGACTGGTCCTCACACTTATGACCATCACATCGCCCCTGAGGTCACGTGATTGTGATCTGGGCACTGGGCAACCAGCTTGCATTTAATGAGCCACCCAGAGTCACCCACTGGGGGAGATAGGCAGCATACAAATTTAATAATAAATAAATAAATAAATAAATAAATAAGACAGTTGTGGCATCCTGGGGTCAGATGATCACCATTTGTGACTTTCCCAGCCAGCTTCCAGAAAGTAAAATCAATGGGAAACCACGTGATTCACTTAATGACCGTGTAACTTACTTAACGAACACGTGATTCACTTAACTGTAGTGATTCGCTTAATGACCGCTACAAAAAATATTGTAAAATCAGGTGCAGTCACATGATACCTCGCTTAACAACTGCCCTGCTTAACGATGAGTTTTTCAGTCCCTATTGCGATCATTAAGCGAGGACTACCTGTAGAAGGTTTGGACTTATCCTCACTTGCTCCAGAACAGTGTTTCTCAGCTTTGGAAACTTTAGGATTTGTGGACTTCAGCCCCCAGAATTCCCCAGCCAGCATGCTGGCTGGGGAATTCTGGGAGTTGAAGTTCACACATCTTAAAGTTGCCAAAGTTGAGAAACTCTGCTCCAGAGGGTAAGTCTAGAACAAATAGGATGAAACTTCAAGGATGTAGATACAGATTAGACAATAGGAAGAACTTCTTGAGTGTCAATCAGTGAAACAGGTTACTGCATGGAATGGTTTCTTCTCCTTCACTGGAGGTTTTCAAACAGAGGCTGGATACTCACCTATGGGGATGGTGTAGTGAATCTTGCAGTGTGCAAGGAGTTGGACTTGATGATCTCTTAATGTCCCTTCCTACTTCTATGTTCATCTACTGGCCCTCTGAATTTCTGCAGCCCAGATCTGGCAGCCATCATTTAAGTGTCTTATTTCTTGTCATTCATGCAGACACACACAACTTAAAACTCTAGCTGGAACATGCTGGCCTTTTTTATACATTACAGTCAGTCAAAATGTGGCTTGTTTGGTTTTAGCTTAACAGATGCAAGCATTCACTGTGGTTTATAAACTATAATCTATGGCTTATATTGCACGGAACTAGTCAGCCAACTGCAGACTGATCAAGTTTAATAAGTAAATAAACCGTAGTTAAGCCATGATGATGTCATTGTGAGCCATCCTATACCCGTAACTGAGTGCTGCATTTGTTGAAAAAGCTGGACTAAATTAAAATGCAGGTGGGCAGTCTGTGATTCAGCTTGTGGTGGGAATGTAGTCCTTTTTCTGATAAGTTGTGAACATTGTGTTATGGTTTCTTAACTTGGGCACAGCATCTTATGTGAAAACAGCGGTTGTTTTGTTCAACTGGGATTGAGGTTTGGTATGCTGTGGGAAATCAGCTGACATTCGTGTGGGTGTGTGTAGAGAGAGCTGAAAGGCAGCCAGTCTAAGAAGCTGTTGTGGGAACTTTGTGATGCAAAGTCCAAATATATAAATTATCATCTGGCCCAAGCATAATATTTAAAATCTATCTGCAGGTTCCTAATAAACCTCTACAGTTTCTTCTGCTGCTCTCTCCGCCTTACAGCCTGCTGTGTTTTAGGATGACTAGATTTTCTAATTTTTCGTGTCTTCATGTCTGCAGCCCGGGTGCAAACTGCAGTCGGTCTTGTCTCCAGCAGGATCTAATTTTCCAGCAGTCTTAGATCTATTGAAAAGTAACTCCAATTGGGTTCAGTGAGATTTATTCATGGATGAATGTGACCAAAATTGCAGCCTGGCACCATCTGTTTCCTGTCTTTGGATGGACAGGAACGGCAGTTTCTCGATTTTGTCCTTGGAATTTCAGCTTGGCTGCACTAAATCTCCTCCTTTCTTCTGTCCAGCCCAGAAAAGAAGAAACAGCCTGTTCCCTAGTCATCTGGAAGTTTTCTCAATAGTTGGAATAAAAAGTAGGACCTTGCTGAGACCTTTTAAATGCTCCTCATAGGAGACTGTATACTTTGGGCTGAATTGAGGCCCTACCTGTCACAGCAGTTTCTCAACCTCAGCAACTTTAAGAGGTGTGGAATTCAACTCCCAGAATTCCCCAGCCAGCATGGCTTTATAATTGGTCGGGTGTACACCCCAACCCC